TGAATTTTGAAATAATAACTGCATAATTATTTCGACAAGAAAAGAGCTTGAAGTAAATAGGCTTAGATAATCGAAATGCCAAGTCATAATTTAGCATTAATGAAATCGTCATTGATTTGTTGTTGGGGCTTCAATGTTCTAAGTGGTATAGCTGAGATTTGATTCCTCTAAGAATATCTTCTGGCCATTCCAGCAAAACTAGAGATGCTCATTCACAATTCATTCAATTATCACTTATTATTTTTCTAAGCGTACATTTTTATAATTAAGACTACTTTTGAACTAATGCTTGTTGTTCCAATAATCTGTAATTAATTAATTATTATTTTTCAACTACATTTTAACAAAAATGTTACCGTGTGTATTCGGTCTTTTTTAGCCCGCGTTATCATAGTTCATGCAACGTATTAAATAAACAACACATCTTTAGTAAAGCATCCGAGGTTAAAGACTACACATCTTAAAACCTTCCAACTTCAGTAACTGATTAGTCATCTCATCTTGCGATTTTCCGTGTTTAAAGACGCAAGATAGCTAGAGGTATATCTTAAATATGGATAGAATATCTCAGAATGGGGTCTTTTTCAATATTTCTACAGATCGGACCAGTTAGATAGGAATGACATTTTGAATATCAAAACTTTTATTTAATCTTCTCCTTCTAAAAAGTTGTAAAAAAGCTTCTAAGTGTTACGTTACCTTTATGACCCATTCAAAACGATTGCATGTCTTCAACACTTGAAGATAATAGAGTGATCATGAAAGCACTATTAATATCTATCCCTATGTCTTTACGAGACCTCCTGGTTTTGTTTCAATAAATTAAAATTCTAATACATCAATGGCTATTTTATTTAATACAACAATTAACAATATAACAGCATTCAAATTCGGTTGAATAAACAACGTAGGTAGAATGCTAGCATAGATCATAGCCTATTAATATACCTAGTGGGTAGGGATGAAATTGGCAATGCAATTAAGGTTCTTAATTTTTTAGCTGGGGTGTGTGATAGACTTACCTCAATGTGGTGCACCGTAGAAAACCTATACTTTTCCGTTTAAAAAGTCTATTAATTGGCTGTTGACTTCTGATTTCAAACTACTATCACCCCGATGTAGGTCATACTCGATCACTTACACAGTACTCACCTCACTTTATTTTGCTTTTGTGTCTGTCTGTCTTTTACATCAGTAAATCACTCTTCTGTTCTCCACTCCTCTACTTTCTGTTGCTCCGATGCTCCTCTCCTCTGTAAAGCCCGAAGTCGCCTTAAGAGCTAATGATAACTAACAAAACGTCTACCATTTGAAATAAAATAATACATTTTGAGATGACAAATATGTAACTTAATAAAATTATAAAACCTGAAGTCTGCAAAATTGGCCAAATGGAAAGTTTTCTCATAAATAGTCATCAAAATTGATAAAGCTTCAATAGAGCACGCCTCTTAGAGTTCATTAATCAATGAAGTGAAATTTCAAATTTGTACATTCTAATGTCTAAACCTATCTTGAAATCAATGAATGTATTATTATTACTAATATTGTGAATAAACGTCCCTAATAGCATCATATATATTTGCAATGATTTTTCACTAAATTTTGATTCAAATGAATGCGTACAGATATAAATAAAATTTTATCCCAGAGATGATTAGAGAACTATTCTAGTTATTTAACACTTTTTAAGAAATTGTCCACTATTAAAAATTATATTAGATTTTTAAACGGTTGCTCTGTGTGTGCAGATTTTTTTGTTGTTTGGTAAACATATTGGATAATGCCATTGTCTCAAAACAGTCAATCAATGCTTATTTTTTATTAATATTGTACAGAATAAGTTTATTGAACACCAAAACACTTCGACTTCAGACAAGCATGCAAGAATGACCTTTCATCCATTATAGAAAGTACTCTAACAGCCAGAGTGAAAGAAATCGTTGGCTACTATTACAAAAAGTTAAAATTCAGGCCGATCTCACGCTTCAGTAGATGCACACTTATTGACAGTAATCTCGTGAATATTTATTTAATGGCTTGTTATTTGTTAGTCGCATCACTTGTGCTCATAGGTGCTTTATTTAACCACTGCTAGATATATTTGTTCGTGGGAACGGCTTCACATGTTCTCCTACTGGTCTGGTTAAGTGATAATATTTCAAAGCGATAATGAAACAAATGATTCGAAATGTTGTAACACTGTCTATAATATTTAGACGCCGAGATATCTAACTTGGTTGATTAGATTGATATTAATTATATTATCTTATGCCGAAAATTGGTAATCAGAGTGCATTTATTAATAAAGGAGTCTGATCCATAACTAATTCATTATTGTATAAAATATGATAAAGTAAAATCACTAGAATTTGCAAGTCAGACGAAATATTTAGACACATATTAGGTAGAGTAGTTCAAAATTAGCTTAACAAATCATTACTAATAGGAAGAAGAACAGATTACTCTCGACGAACTGGAAGAAGATCCCTATTTGGGTGGGGGAGTGACGAGAATAGCGAAATGATTGGTAGAGGCTGTTCTAAGTGAATATTTAAAAGGAGAGTATTGCTGGTTAATTCTGGTGGATTATCACCAAGATCCACTAGGTTTAATTTTAACGATATTTAAAGAGTATCCTAATGAGATCGGAAATATTTAAAAACTTGAATTTATAGATTCAGAGAGCAGGTTCCTTTTCAAAAGTGCTTGACCCAACTATTGGAAATGCAATAAATCTAAATTTGGTCATTGTGAAAGCTAACTGGGTTGATTTTAGAGATATTATAGTTTCCCAATCTAACATTAAACGAATGCACTATTCTTTCATGCGTGGTTCAAAAGTACACATTTGTTAAAATTTGGCAAATAACAAGGTCGTTAAGTGACTTAATTTATGAGTAAAGCCAACCACTGTGGCTTTTCTGCGTTTATATAGAGTTCTGGAATCTGTGAATATTTTGGAAAGGCAATAAGAATATAGCTCTTACCACCTTCGGGTTTGCGATAATTGATTTCAGTTCTCTCTTATAATGTCTCTCCTGAGTACATCTGGCATTTACGGTATAAAAAGATTGAAAATCATTTGGACTTTGACTATCTCCATATGAATTTGAAATACCTTCACTTCATACCACTTTCATTTACTGAGCTTTAAAGCTGTCAGTATGCCTACGTATATCACTACAAACATTAACAGTACACAGCTGATTTAGTGCAAATATTAAAGAATAGCATTCCTGCCTTATACTTTTATCCAACTTTCTGGATTTTCAGTTTTAAAATTTATTCGTTTTCAACAAATATGCTTGCTTCTCATTAGATTCGATTTCGACCGAAATTGTATGCGTACTTAAAGGTTTTATAACTTGAGACCCTTTTAATTGTACATTTAACTTTGAAGGTGCTTTTCATAACCAGCTATTTCTAAATCACATGAATAATGCGGAAACCAAAATCATTATCAATCGAAAGGATCAAACTTTTCTGGTGATATTGACGTATCCATTGAAATTAAATATTTTTGAGTCATTGTCGTAACATGACGTAATGATTTCATATGCGTTTTCAGGTATGGTGATTTATGTGACCAATAATTTGAAAAGAAGAGATTATGATCTTAGTCTGTCAGTCTGAAAGCATAAAGATTTTCATTCGGTTTAATAATATATATATATATATATCAGCAAGTGGTCGGCGTAAAGCTAATAATCATTTCAATTCAATCCAAATCAACGGACCAATGATAAGTAATTGCTTTAAATGTGGATGCTCTCATAAATCAAGACGACATGGAGAAGTGAATTAAAAGAAGCTGCTTGCAACCCCAAGACATGGAATAATTTTATTTAATTTGGATTCGGACTGTGAAATATTAATTGAATGGGCATTTTATGTTTACTGATTCCAACTTCATAGTTCACTTTGAATATTAGCAAATACTTGTCATAATAATTTGTCCTATGAACCGCTTATTTTAATCAAAAAATGAATAAGTCTCGAATGAACAGTTCAATATTTTTTCAAGATGTTGAGAGGGTATGTGAGCTTTCAGGAAATAAAGTAGCTTTTAACCCTATAAAAAGGACGTTTCGATACCATGAGATGTATTCCACCAAGGTATACAAATATAACTGCTAAAACATGCAACCTATTCTATCGGTGAATCAAATGTAAGTTGGTTTCACAACTTTTTTACCTTTGCTTGCGTAGAGTCGAACTGCTATGAAACATTTCAGGTAAGCTTAGAAGTTGTTTACTAATCCTCCAATTATGGCAAATGACAATTATTTGGTTATGTGCTATAATTTTGTGCTTTGTTAATTAAATTTTCCAACAATCGATTGATTATTATTTCTAAACTTCTTCCAAAACAATGCTGGATCGTATTTTACCGTTGTTTTTCAACTGAAATATGACGATAGCTTTTTATTTAATATTCCTTTTTTAAGTCAGTCAACTAAATCATCAGCCAATCGGTGTTTTATGCTATCATTTTTTGGGGTGCATTGTTTTGCTGTAAACAGGCATTATGGTTAATCTCAAATGCATGCAATCTTCATTAATATGAGACAATAGTTAATAAACATGGTTAAAATATAAACAACCAGATTGATATATATATATAGTTCCAATTCCCAATCTCCCCTTATTGGTGTTCTTAAATTGTCCAATTTCATCAGTTCCTATTGCGATTGCTATTGGTCTCCACCAAGGTTGAATGTGCGTGTGCGTGAATGTAACGCGCGAAGTTAGAACGCAATTATAGTGTCATTTCACATGTGCTGTGCGCCTATCGTTACAGCGTTGATTTTTCGATTGTGTGAGTGCTAGCAAACAACTTATCGATCTCGTACTTGCACACTCATAATTTTCGTGCATATTTGTGTGCGCATGTGGTATTCGGTATGGAGCCTTCTTAGAAAGCGGGAAATTCGAGAGAGTCGGTTGTAAAAACTTTATATTTCTGCATTTCCCAATTGTCATCTTTTTTGATAAAAATGGAAGCATTCCTTGCATCTGGCAAAGCCCCTGTCAAGTCACAATCCTCCGCCAGTATGGATTTGGGATACGTTCTTGATTCCACTGATGAGAGTAGTGATGATTCGCAAACACCCCCCTTGGAAAAATCTAACCAAAATAAAGGTCAACTGAGGACCATTGAGGAACAACTTCGAATCCGTAAGTAAACGACTAAATTTTTGTCAATACCCCTTTTATTTAACTAAGCGCATCGCAAGAGCTAGAGATGAAATTCTCCGCCCCTCCAATAAACATTAGAAAAATTGAATGGAAAGAACTTGAATTTTTTGTGTTGGTAGTATGAAACGGAGAATACATACATTTTTGAACATGGACCAATTCATGAAATCCATATTTGTCCTGGATAGTCAAAAGAAGTGCATTTGCACAGAACTGAGGTTAGGCATTGGGGATCGCAATAGCGCCATTTGAACTGAATGATGACAATTTCATTCACGTTTCAATAGCTATCTTTCTATTAACAAGTTCCAAAAGCGGCGCGCCTAAAACTTAATCTTTGTAAAATTTGTTGAATAGCTGTATATTGGGGAGTTACAAAATTAAATAATCTTCACTTATCTCCTAATTAATGATGATAGGAATCGTATTTAAAAGGAGTTCTTCATGTAATTAAAATTGGAAAGTTTATTATTCAATCGAAAATATGCATCTTCTATGGGTCTTTGCGTGCTTTGAACAGGGGACTACTCCGCTTACTTGTACACTGTTCACCCCTTTTTCAATCAAAATTTTTAAAAAAATCTTTATTTTTTATTTTTTTCAAAGTATTACTCTTTTTAATCAGGTTTTTTAATGACGTTAACAGTGAGGAAAGCTTTAATTTGAGGCATTTTTTTTACTTAAATTACTTAGAACAGTTTCCAAATTTAGTTCATTTTTTCAGGGGAGACTCATTTGACAATTATTTTAGGTGAAAAAGTTTAGTGAATCAAAATGATAAATAATTTCTATGCCTTTTTTAACATTCCCTTTTGACTTAGACAATAGAAAGGAGAAAAATATTGAGAAAGACAATTCAGTTGCCTCATTTCTCGCGAGCTGTCCCTTTCTTGGTTTCGCATAAACAAACGATTCACATGATTTTGAAAAAAATATATGCATATTATATTTAGACTTTTTGAATACTTGTGCAAATAAATAGCTGATGGGCTGAAGTTTACTGCTTTTCATATGAAAGCTTAAGCGGATAAATGATTAAACCCTTTAATTGGTAGCTTTTTCACGAAAACGATGCCAAAAACAATCTTTCATGTCCTGGGCTTTTAGCTAACTCTAGGGTTCTTCATGAACTTTATTACTACACGTGCAAATAACCGATTATTTATCCCAATGTCAACCTTAGATCATATACAAACGATAAAATTCCCGCTGAATTTAGTTGGTAATTAAAATGCTGATTTCATTTGCCAAGGAAACATTTTTCCTCAACTGCACTTCAAATCTTATCGGCAAGTGGGTGGTGTTGGTTGTGGAAGAGGTCAAATTTAATTCTGTCCTTTAAGAAAAAGTTCACACTTATTTTTAAACAAGGTAGTATATCATTTGATTTAAATTTTCATTTAATATTTTTAAATATTTATTATCCTTTTATTCAGTGAAAAAACGAATACAAGTTGCTGAGATCGAATTTCATTCAAAGTGGGATAACCCCAAAAAGGTAAATAGTTTTCGAAAAATTGTATTTTTTATCCTTTCAATATTTTATGGCGTCATACTATCATTTTATTAATTAATATAACCTATTAAAATCCTCTAAGTTTGTACATATTGAACTTAATTTAGACAGAAAATCGGTAAGACTGATAAATGCCGAATTATCTATTTTAATTTTTATTCCTCATTTCATAAAAGCTACAAATGTATTAAAATAATCCGACAGTTATTATTAGAATGAATTTGGACAAAGTGATCATCTATCTCAGAACTCAAATGTAAGCTCAAAGATTAAAATTTTAGAAATTTGTTTGAAATATTTGAATTGCACCAATTACGTTATTTAGTCATTATTCTTTTACTGATTCGATTTTGTAAAAAATTTGCACATTTGTAAATCCTGCTTTGATTGCCATTACACTATTTTAAATTAATCGTCGGCTTTTCAGTTACTAACACTGATTTCATTTTGCGCCATGTTAAAACAACTGCAGTCCGAGTGTATCCGTGTAGTTGTGAAATATTTAGCAATGTTTATATAAATTGACGACACGTAAATAAGTTCTGATCAGCACGTAGCTCCGTTACTTTGGGTTTTCGTTTATCATAGTTAAGCGAATACTTCTCATTTGAAGGTCAATTGAAAACCACTTTATTTCCCCTTTAACAATGCAGGGTAGTGTTTCAGAAATATGCCAAGAGTGGCGTCAAACTGCCACGGGTCACTATCTTACATGCTTTGAGTTTTGGGATTTATAATGAATAACTCATGCTTCAAAATCATAATTATTTGCCTCGTCATATGGCTAATTCTACAACTTCTTGTCCACGATATCGATGAATTTTCTGATCCGATTTTCGATTGCTTACATTTTTACATTGTTCTTAATAAGATGGAGGCACAATAATGATTTAGTTTTGCATTAAACTTCTGAAAAAATTTTCAAATAGCTGCGCTAAGATATTTGAATATAAGAAATTAGTAGATCAGATTTGAATTATTTACCCATGGTGAAAGATTTGACTGAATACTGTTTAAAGGGGTCCATCTTCAATTCACTTTCTAATGTAATATTCATTGATTTGCTGAAATGCAAAGATACGTATTTGTCTACGCAATTCGAGAGGTGTTTTATATTGAAAGAATTATATATATATATATATATATATATATATATGCTTAGGGTATTGGTCTGTTAAATGCATTTACTCTAACTAATATGCGAGGATTTACTTAATCAATATAATTTTATAAGAATTTCATTTCGTTTGTGATATTTTTGGCTTAATAAGATTATTAATTGAAAATCCTTTTATAAAGCATACGTGCTTCGCTGAAGAGTCATTAGCTATAGGTTTGTTAGTGATCTAGAAATTCAGCAGATTCTCTTCACTTATTGTGTGGCCGATTGGGAACAGAACATTAAATATGCCTTTGTTTGAGAAAAATAATTTTGTTTTAATCTTAAATCTTCACTTTCTGAGTTGGTCTGAGTGCTATTAAAGTTTAAGTGAGTTACAGTAATTGATTCTCTTTTGTGTTTATTGGACATAAAACTTTTAATACAGGTCACTTAATCGAAAGGAATTAGCTCAGTGAAACTTAGCAAAAATATGTAATTGCCTCTGTCCCCTTCAAGGTCTGTGAATCAAATTATTATTCTTCCTGAAACAGATTCCTTGCAAATTTCCTTGTATATGATATCCAGTACTAATTGCGTTAGTCATTCCCCAAACGCATAAAAATACTGTTAGCAGTAAATTTTCACTTTGTTTAGTCTGCTTCTCAAATAACTAAAATAATATATTAAACTTCTTGTCTTTTTTTAAAAAAATGAGTGAACTTTGAAATTTTATGCCAATCTTTTAAAAATTAACTAACCGTGTTTGGCAAAAATGTTTAAAATTATTCATTTATATTTATCTTTTCATTCCTCTATTATTATAATTACTTATAATAATCTCAATAAACAATTTGGCTTTAAGTGAATTCACAAATCATCATACGAGAATGGAATTGAGTCTTAAATTTGTCATATTTCACAAACCTTAAACAAAAATACTTCACGTTTCAGTTAAAATACAATTTTTAATTTATATTTGGCTAACGAATTCATAGGCTATCGCATGCGCTCAATCATTTCATTTTACAAATATAGTAGTATATCAAATTTTGCCATAATTTTGTATAAACTAACATTTTAATAATTCATAAAAATTTCAACTTTTTTAATTTTTTCTCAAATACTTGCAGTTAAGCCATTAATTGGGCAGTTCTGATATTTTATAGTTTAAGGTTTGAGCGGTCTGTCTGAGTTACTTTTTGTTCCAGTTATCCTTGAATATTTCTGAAGTGCATTTCCATGTCAGTATAATTCCAGTCATATTACTATAATTATCTTTATTAGGTGGAAAATCAGTGGCCGATTAGAGCTTCACTTCGACTTTTTATGATTTATAACGAGCAAAGACGACAAAAACAATATATAAACAATAATTAGTGCGGAATTTATACTCCTAAAGCGGACACATGCTGGGTTATTGTCAATTAGTTGGCATAAACTTCATTATTAACTAATTTTAAAATGGAGCAGATGTTTACAACGTTGTTGGACTTCCAATTGCAGTAAAACGCTTTGCTATTAAGCGTCATTAACTATATAAAGGCGAATATGATGCAACGCGTAAATATAAAACTTACTATTTAGTTCAGCATCAATAATTAGATGAACTCCAATCAACTTTGTTCTATAAGTGGGTTAAAATAAAATAAATTCATTGCGATTTGCTTGTCATTTAAACGAAAGCACTAAATTGTAAAGTGATCAATTCTAATTAATTAATATACAATAAAATTTGGGCTCATTGCATTTGGCCTTGTCAATAATTTGGTGCACTCTAACGGGGTCTGAATTTTCTGCAAATTCTACTGATTTAATTTAGAAATCATATTCATAGAATTCTTTGTGGGCGTAACAATTATGTTCTTCGCTATTTTGAGCACTATAAAGTAGACTTGAAATCCTCAATATTTTAACAACTTATTCATTCAAACACGAAAAGTGTGAAAACTTATTATTTTGCAATTCTTAAATTTATTCATAACAAGAACTCGCTTGATTAAAATGAAAGCAGTTTTTGAGTTAGTATTAAATTTTTCAAAATTACAATCAAGTAGTTTCCTAAAATAAAAAAGTTTGCAACCTTACAATAATAAACAGCGAATAATAATTGAGCAATTTTTTGTTACATTGAAATTGAAATTTAATTTTCATTAAACTAAAATTTTAGACAACTTTAGCCCAAAACAGAAATGAATGAGTCAACAAATGCAACTTAATATCTGTTCTATCTTAGTACTTAAATATGGAAACATTGCAGATAATATAATGCTCTTCGGAAAATTGATAATAAAAATTTAAAAAAATAGGAAATTGACTGGACGATGAAGATATAAGATAATGAACTCTTTATCCTAGTGCGATTTGTATTGTTTCTTTGAGTTCATTGAATATGCTTCCTTTGTTATTTCTCATTCAGGTTGCCATAGGTTCCAGTTATAACGGCAATTAGCAGCGTCAAAATATCCACAAGCTCTCTTTTACAAGTCGAAGTTTTTGTAACTTATTTTCGTTCCATAAATAAGTAACTAATTAGTGGAATTTGGGGCTGTTGCAAACTACATATATTTTCATTGAATTGTGCCCAATACAGGGCACAAGAGCTTATAAACTGTGCTCAGATGGGTATAACGTAAAGAAATCGATTTTCTTCTCGACATTCACTGTATACTTTTGTTGCCGATTCTATTTTTTTTCTTATTTTTTCTTATTTTTTTCTTATTTTTTCTTATTTTTTCTTATTTTTTTCTTAATGACTTAAGTGACTAACATTGATGCATTTCGCGATGTTTTTTATTGGAGTTATAAGCACTTTTCGATAGAACAAATAAAATTGCTTATTTAGTAAATTTCTATTACAATAAAAATCCTGTTATGATAAATTTCACTCTGTTTGTTTCGTTTGCGTAGGAGGCAAATGAACTCGCCAGCAACAAAATTCGACCTGGAATTGAATAAGTAATTTATCTTAATGGAAGCTTCAATTCAAAACAAAAGCTTTTCCCTATTGATTGTTGGTTTAAATTGTAAACTTTACCTATTGGTCAGTGTTTATTGCTTAAATTTGACTTTCAACTATTCCTCTATAGATGCGTGTTTTTCCTTGACTAAAAATCATGTTAGTCAAGCCTGATGATTATTTCATGATGCTTAATACAAATTAATAATGATGAATTTAAATAAGCCCATCTTATATATTGGTTATATGCTAGCAACTCTGTGTAATACGCTGACACTTTCAAAGAAAATATGCAAAGATGTCAATGTTTGAGAGCATTAAAATTATGAAAAGTAAATCAAAATGCAATTAATATCTTAGCATGCTACGAGAAAAACTCTTTTGATTTACGTTTTAAATAGAGTAAAATGTGATTTATGAAGAGGGATAATAAACATGACAAAACATATTGTTGGCTAGAAGTTAAGAACTTTGCCTTTCAGAAGATTCCTCAAATCATCTATTGTATTTCCCACATCCAGATTGCAATCGGCGTATCATCACTCATACACAAAGTTGTCGAGTGCTTTAGAAAATATTTTGATTCAGAGTCGGGCTGTAAATAACACGGTGATTTTATAGCTCTTATAAGCATCAAAACACTTATCATTCTGTGATAGTAGAAAGCATTTGTGCCAAATTCATCTCGAGACCACAGGGGAATTGAAGTTAGCTTTGACCATTCAGCAAATAAGTGACGACAATTTCAATTTTCATCTCACGCATTATTGGGAAAATATCGATACCATTTTACTCGACTCACTTCTTGGACAAATTAAAAACCATTTAAAGTTAATAAACTACTAACGATTTCGAAGCAAACACTTTGTCTAGACTTCTTTTTACTCTATCTGACTTTTTATCGACTTAATAAAAATCAGCGTTATGTTTGATATATTTAGATTTCACATCATTTATGGTTGTCATAACAAATTTTACAACGGTGTGAGCATTTATTTCTAATTTTGTAACCTGATATCAATATTTGACATTCATTTGAGTGGAGAAAACATGAACAATGTTTCTATTTGACTGCACTATTTGATTTTTGCTGTTAATCTAATTATATGCAATGAAATTACTGATTATCTTCTATTCTTCCCGAAGTTTAAGACTAGACAATGCTTAGTTGTCTACACATTTTCTGTCTGCAAAGGTCAATAAATAATTTGTCTTACTTTTTAGTATAATAGCAAACTCTCCGACTTTGTATGTTTAAAAACCGTCGGAACAGGATCCTTTGGACGTGTGTGTCTTGCCCAGCATAAACGAACAAAACGGTACCTTGCAATCAAGATACTTCAAAAAGCCAAGGTATGCAAATTTAGTGACATTCATTTTTACTCATAAATTGGTGTGGCAGTTATTATCTTTATAAAGAGAATTATCAAGTAATGAACGCATTCAAGTTGCAATAAGTTACACTCAAATAGGATATTCTGATATGCAACAGATCATATTTATTTGTTATTTTGCGCTAAGAAGTGCTTTTTTCAGTTCATAACTTAGTTATTGTTGGTACTGAGTCTCAGACCCTTGAAAAAGGAATCGAGAACAACGGGTTGTTTCATCAATCGTCCGTTGAATTTTCTATATCAACGTGTTTCTATTCATTTTTCCAAATTCCTACTGGCAAGTTAAGTTTAGTAAGCAGTAAAAAATAGCTCCATTTTAATTCAAATTATTAAAAAACAGCCACCTTTCCGGGGTAGTTAAAAAACAAGTCTCACAATTTTCTAGTTAATTAATTTAACTATTACTAATTTTTTTGGAATTCGTTTTAAATTTTCATTGTATTCGCAAGTAAGCAAAAGAAATCTATGAGGCTTTCTTCATAGGAATTGAAGTTTGCAGACTGGTGGAATAAATCTCATTGTTCATTTTGCCAATCAGATTATGTTTTTATGAAATGGTCAGTCGTCCTTTTTACATTCAAATGACTATTAGATGAATTTTGTAGGTAAATCAATGTGTTATTTGGTACTTCCATGTGAGGATATTTTATAGAGCAGGTTAAATCAAAGCAATGAATATTAAATAAACTTTGCATGGCATATAATCCAAAGAATGCCATTCTGGAGATATAAATTTGATTGAGTTTGGAAGTAATCAAATTTTACTTGACATTTCAAGATATAGATAAAACAGCGGTAGCAGTTTAATTCCTTGCACAAGTCAGTAAAAAAACATAAAAAGAGACATCCTGAATTATGATGGCTTCTTGTAGACATTTTCCCATAGCACTAAAGTGTGATGTATTATAACACATAGGTGGTAAAGGAAGAGAAGATTCTGAAAATTAGCCTACTAACCCAATTTAACACCAAAAGTGTCCCCATAGGTTGAACAAAGTGGGAATCCTAAATGCAATAAATCCACTAAACTTTTCTCCTCTGTTGTGGAAGTTCATTTCTGGATTCTATCTTTTACACCTATGTCTAAATCGTCGACATTTTGAAAAAAAAGATGACCTGAAAACCCGAATCATGAGAATGTCTAATAAGAGTAACAAATATTCTATAGGGTAGACAATGGGGGTGGATGGAATATGAAGTCTTAATGAAGTATCGTGATAATTAGTATCACGAAATCGACCTTTGCCAAAGGTGGATATCTTTCTTAAGGATAGTCCATTTCAATGATATTACAATTTATTTGTCCCTTGATAGACGTTCAGAGTCTCTAGGAATAATTTTATCATTTAGATAGTTACAACAAAGGTAGTAAGACTAATGAAAATGTTAAATGTTCATTATGGTTCTTTCATTGTGTCTCGTTAATTAGAATTTTTTGAATAAATGAATTCGATGTCATCAATTTCAACTTTAACATTAAAGAAAGAAAGCTGGTTTTATCTAAGTTTAGTATGAAATTTACATTGAGTTTACGTAAAAAGAGGAATAAAATGAACAACCTCAGGATTAATAAAAATATTAGATCAAGTATGGTCGAAAACGTTATCAGTCAAACAAAAAGGCAGAAACGTTTCCCTGCTTAATTAAATCCATAAATGCAATCAATGTTATCCAATGCTCTGGAGACAGCCAAAGGGTGGCAATAAAGGAATCATATCAACAGTGATTTTAAGATTTTAAAACTATGTTCATGTAGCATTTTAATTTTCACTTATTTATATGGAAGTGTAACACTTCGAATAAAAACTTTAATCTAAATTTGAAAACAAATTGACATCCTAGTTACAAACTGCAGTACAAGAATATTTTTTTTTGATATGCTGTTTATCTTCTGCATTTTTTGGCAACTCCCTTCTTTTAATCTTTTATTAGTACAATAAATCTAAGGCACACAATAACTTAGCAGTTTTATCGATCTTTCCTTCATTCCGAGTATGCTTTTAGCCTATTGGAGACTTACAATTATTGGGGAAGTGTTCCTTTGCACTCTACAACATCTCAACTGTCCGTTTTAAGGTATCAAAATTTCAAGGCAACGAAAAAATGCAATACACGCTTTTAATTGGTATATTAATTGAGAAAACTCCTTGCATTTTGAACGTCTCTGAAAACTATCCAAGAGAGAGGAGAGTTAGAATTTATGATTCAAGACATTTTGGTACTATGTAGCTGATTTCTGCACAAATTACCCTTATCTTATCCCTAATAATCTCCATGGCAAAATATCTTAGTATAAAATGACTCGAGGAACTAGTGAATAAAATAGTATTTATTGAGGTTATGCTCACAGCAAATATGATTAGTATTTGAATACATTTAACATAACCTGAATGCACCTAAATAGCCAATGTTGTGGTACGCATGAGATTACTTAATTTAGTACACATCGATATTAAATATGACCAATATCATTACTGTTTATATTTTATAAGAAAAATAAACAAAATAGTTTGGGGATAATTTGTTAAATTGAGTTTAGAAAACAATTATTGATTTCAGTGGACGCAATAAGATTAATGGTTCAATCATGTATTGAAATGGATGAAAACGTGTTTTCTTGATTAATACTCAAAGAAAAAGGATTGGTAAAATCAAAGATCCTTGTCCAAAAAGTATTTCATTTTCTTGCAATTTAAGTTAAGGTCATTATAACTTACCATGGAAAGTATTTTCTTCAATTTTTAAGTTACAAATGTCTCCACCCCAATACGATTATATTTTGCTTGTAGATAGAAGTCTTAATTCGAGTTGGAGAAAAATCCAATTTTTTTACTGATTCTGTCTAATGAGTATTCGTCCCATTTCGGCATAACCAGTAGTTTCTTTCACTACAGATAAATTTAAGTATTACCTGTGGTATTTTTTCCGGCTCATATTCTAAAGCGTATATCGTCACTTTTAACAGTAGTTTCGCTACGTGAAAGGCCCACTGACCTTTTGAATCTACATTAAAAGGTTCATAAGTTATTTTGGCTGTTTTCAAATAGAATGCCCCTAAACGGACCCCATGAAATACTTTCATATTCACAAAAAAATTACCCTGCACAATTAATATATATATGCGTTTCAATATATTTCAATACGTTTGCAAATGTCAATTTCTAAAAATTTCTTATGATTTTACAGTTGGTATTATTTGTTCGGATAATTTTAAAATATTTTCTTTGCAGATTGTTAAACTAAAACAAGTGGAGCACACACTGAATGAAAAGAAAATTCTCTCCTGTATTGATTTTCCCTTTATTGTAACTCTTAAATCGTACTTTAAAGTGAGTGCCACTCAAATAACGATTTTATTATTATTAGGCATTAGTTAATTCAATTTACTTTATTCTATTTCAGGACAATGCAAACCTTTACATGGCCCTTGAATTCATAAACGGCGGCGAATTGTTCTCCCTTATTCGAAGAGAAGGAAAATTCAAGTAAATTTTGTTTAGATGTGTCACTGCATATGATTTTGGTGTCTAAACGATCAAATACCTTTAATAATTCATCAAAATAAGGTTTAAATTTTGCTCTTTTTGCTAAATTGCGTTGATTCTTTAGACGAAAGACTTCATTCGGGCGTGAATGCTTTTCAAAAGATCTTGTTAAACAGAGGTAAAGTTGTTAGTGAAATCGAAAAAGTAAAAGTATATGCACATGCAGTATATCGTTTCAGCACGTTTCAGTTTATGCATTCGACCTGGTTTGTTCCAAAATTCATTCATTTATACAAATATATTTAATTTAAAGGCATATTTGAACCCAAAATAAAGATGGAATACTGAATGAAATTACACGTGACTGAGCCAAGGAAACATCGACCACTGTGTTGCTGCTTTCGTTTTAGTAACGGCGCCAAATGTTTACATATTCATAGTTTACAAAGCGTCAGAACTAACTTGTTGGCATAAATATTGCTGTGCACACAAACAAAATAAGGTAGAGCGACATATAAACTATAGTTTTTGTGAAATCTAAGACACAATAATACGCAATAAGCCGACCGTCTTTAATATGGTTGCGCAAATTCACAGATTTGTTGATACAAATCTCGCGATGCTTGTTGGTTCAATCCACTTGTGACGTCTTTTATGCATAAAACACGCCCAATAAACACATGAGTTTTATCGATTATCAAAGTTAGTTGATATTAGTTACAAAAAAGCATTAATTCTGAGAACCAATAAAGATGACTTATTCCTGAAAATATGTATTACTTTGCTTGGAATTGAATTACAGTTTCATCTATCATTCCTCAGACACATTGTAAACAAAATTTGAAATAATTTTCAATGATGATTTGCCTGAACATTAGTTTATTACATATATTTGGGTTTTATGCTAATTTAAATGGAAATTTTATGATAGCATGTACTAGTTCATGAATTTAAGTACTACATGCATGCTTTAGGTATTTCCTTAATATTGTTGAATTATTTTAATCAAAATCAAGACGATAACAAGTTTTTTGTCATAAAGGGAGGACACTGCAAGGTTTTATGGAGCTCAGGTAGTACTTGCACTTGAATATCTGCATTCCATGGATATTGCCTACAGGGATTTGAAACCAGAAAATCTCCTTATCGATAAATATGGATATCTAAAGGTCAGTACCTAGATTATTAAATAAAGGTTAACTTTTGATTACATTCTATTTGATAGTTTAAATAAAGCAGCAAGAGAAATCCTTTAAAGGGTAAAATAAAATTTGAAAGTCAGATACAAACAACAGTATCCATGTGCATTTCAAAGCGGCTTAACTTTAAGATCTGCTTTTTAACCTTCTTAGTCAAATAGTGATAGGTAATCACAAGATAAAAAGATTTCCCAAACTAAGCAAAATTTAAAAGTCATCAACTTTGACTTAGCCTTGAATAGTAAATGAAGGTGTCCCATACCAACCTAACTCCGAAAAATTCAATCAATTTACCCCACACCCATCAAGCGTCTATTTAGCCTTCACTCAACCTATTAGCCCTGACTATCTGGGAGAGACTAGGAGTCGAAGATTAAGTTGAAGGAGAAGGAGTAAGTGGTTAATGAGAAAACGTAGTAGAGGGAGGGTGTACAACGTGGACGGAAGTCGATAGTGCACCCCATGAGAGAATATATAACTACTAATCTGAAAAATGCAATTTCAGGCACAATAAATATTCTTCTTTGTATTTTAGTTAACGGACTTTGGGTTCGCCAAAGTGGTCAAAGGCCGGACATGGACACTTTGTGGAACCCCCGAATACCTTGCCCCAGAGATCATTCTCAGTAAAGTAGGAATTTGTCATTATATTTCCCAATGGATGATAGATTGCCAAAGAGGCAAGTACTTATTACACTATTTTGACAGGGCTATAGTCGAGCAGTGGATTGGTGGGCTGTGGGAGTTCTAATTTTCGAAATGATTGCCGGATATCCTCCTTTCTTTGCCGATCAAGCTCTACAGGTCTATGAGAAAATTGTCACAGGAAAAGTATGTCTGATACAAGCTCAAAATTAAATTTTTAATAACCTAAAGGTGCACATAAGCTTGTGAACCCGTGTAAAAATTCGGTTTGACGAAGAATGGAACCAAGATCAGGGTTACTCTAGGTCATAATAAAATAGAAGAGTAGAGTAGATTAGAGTAGAGAAACCTCATACATCGATGCTTTCCTCATCCTTCATATTGACTTGCTTGCTAGCAACACACCTTCATCCGAGCCCATCAAGCCCTACAGGTCTATGAAAAAAAATTGCCACAGGGAGGGTATGACTGATGCCATTTCAAAATCCAATTATCAATAGCCATAAAGAGTTTATACGTTCGTGTTGCCGTGTAAGAATTTCGGATTGGCGAAGAACGGATGTTGGGCGGCAAACATAATGATCACCATTCGTTGAGAAGTTATGGCAATCCTGGACAATTTTGCACGAGATTTGAAATGCCTCCAAATTGCCCATTTCATCGGCAACATTCACCAGTGTTACTATTCCCACGAGATATTGATAGACTGTAGCAACTTATTCACAGTGGGAGGGAAAAATCTAAATCAGGTATATTGTAGGGAACGAAACTGAATTATGGCTCTTTGTCTTAAAGGTAATCGAGCTGAAAGATAGTCACGCGTCTAATTCGGATTGATTTGAATTAAAGGGTGCTTTTTAAAACAGCATTTAATACTAGTTGTAGAAAGGGAGCACTTGAAGTTCCTTCCCGTTTCAATTACTTCCGATTTATATGAGGCCGTTTTCTTGGAACTCCGATAGGGTAGTAATAGTGTACCCACTATGAAAATGTTACCTTTTAAAGGTAACTCCATAGTCCTTCCAACAATTCTTACTTTAATCGTTAAAGTAAAGCATTTTTTTCACGTCGATTACGTGGCGTGTGGTTCGGTTCGCTATGATATATTGGAGTAGTAATAGGTTTTTGCGCGGTTCGGTGGTTCGGTTTTCTCCTCTCTTTTCTGTGTTTTTTTCATTTGTAATTCGATTGGTTATCAGTGATTGTTCGTTTCATTTAATTGGTTTAATTGTAATCCGTCCCACATTTTCATTTATCCTATATAACTGCATTGCACCTTCTTGTTTCCACATTCATTTAAGTCAGTCATCCGGAATGTATGGGGATGAATTACGTTTGCCTTCCTCTTTTTCTTCTGTTCTTTTTCCACTCCCAGTTGTTCATTCCTTGCTGGAATCGACGGTAGCGACATTTTCTCGCTTTCTGCCTCGATGATAACTGGGGGGGGGGGGGGGGGGAGGGGGAGTAGGAACACAATATTCCATATCTCCTAGCTTCCTTATGCGTTATAACCCCAATCATTTGAGGCGGGAAATAATCCACCTCATGTTTGACGTTACCGTGTATAAGTAATTTGTTACTATGGCAAAGAACACGACAACCATATTTATGTGGTTTTCGTAAGTTGAAAGACGAATCGGTGGCCAACTGATTGCCGTGTCGAGTGAAGAGCACTCATCGACTGGTGAGAAACCTGAATTTTTTATTGTAGGACTTCAGGGCCAAAGGAGAGGTGAATGGGACTGGCGTAGAAATGTGGAACGTGTGGGAAATCGCTCGCCATATGCCTCCTGTAGAGCCGCCTTCGTCATTTTCGTCAGACAATAGGCATGAACGAATTTAAACCTCAAGAAAGTGGTTGGTGGAGCATAGAATGCAGAAGTGCTTCAATCTCCCGGAAGGACTACGCATTTGTCATGTAAGAACCCTTGACGTGATTTTTCGCAAATTCAATGCTAATGTAGCTACCTTCATGAATTCAACAATCGGTATTCTATGTGGTGAGGTTGATAGGCATCAAACGCGGGCATTTAATAATGGGCGATTTGTTGAGGAACCTCCACGAATCGCCGCATTATTGCCATGTGAAGCTTTGTGAGGATATTGAGTTTGGTGCTAGCTGGTTGGCAGCGGTGCTCATTTCAAATATCGTTGGTGTTGGCTCCCTTCTAAACGAAATTGAACAAATCATGGACAAATGAAAACAACCGAAATCAATACACTGTGTTTCCGAGGCCACTACGACACTGGGAAAACGTTTACCCTCATCGTGGCGCTTTTTTATAGATTGTAACGGTGTATCGTCGTGGTGATCAGTCCGCCTTTCAATTTGACAACTTGCTCAATCGCACGGTCGCCCTGATGAAGGAACCAAGGTTTATAATGGCGGCAAAGAATGATTATAAGTGCTCTTCTTGGCGGAGACAGGTTTGAGGTATGGAGTACGGCGGTTCCTCGCAGGAGTGTCAGTCAGCAACCACTAACGAAGATCTTGACGCCCTCTCGCCTCCAATTGAACAGCTGGCGCTCTACTCCAGAGTGAAGCAATGTGCTTTGAATGAGAGAATCTTGTCTGAGCTATTATGCTGCACTATTCTCATGTATCCAGTTGTTTTGTGTGTCTGCCGCTTGGTTAAATAATTTAGAAAACCTGGTTTTTATAACCGTACGTCAGTGTCTATATCCCCTCGCCCGATGGTGGAGTGGTACTTTATAATACCCCAACAAAGCATGTTTGTTTGTTTCAAAGCATTTGTGATAAATACATTTTTCAAATTGCACAGAAAGTCTTGCGCTTAAAATTAAACATTAGTGAATACGGGAGGCGAAGGAGCAGATGAACAGTCTGCAGCTGGTGAGGGGGGGGGTTCTTGAGAAAGACCAGAGACCCGAAAACCGTAGGAGGGTCAGAAACCAACACAACGGCAATTTCCAATCAATCCATGTTACTTATGGCTTCGTCGGTCATGGAGGGACTTAAATAAATAGGTTAATGGTAACTGAAAGCACGATGAAAGTCCCAGCAAACGAATGAGTAGTTAATGCTGCATTTTCAGGACATTTCATGATTAAATATATCAGCAAGCCCCCAATATGTTGACTCTAAAGCCAAAGAAACAACCCTTATCTGTGTCAGTGGGATGTGAAAGAATATAAATCAATCTTAAAGTGTCACCAACACGATGGCAAGCCCCTGGAGGCGTAGTGCCAGCTGTTAACGTACAGTTTGACAACTTTAATTACTTAGCGGTATAATCACCACTAGGACATTCTTCCGTAAGCTTACATCCTGACTTCTAAATATTCAACAACTTGATATTTTAAGATGCAAGAGAACAGAATATTATTTAGGCAAAATTTCTTTGATTCAGATGAAAAAATAAGCGTGATTAATGATCGACGTTGCAGATACCCTTTGTGTGTATGGGCTACGGTTTCAAATTTAATGATCACTAAAAGCGTTGTATGAATTACGAACACGGGACAGGTAAAGCAATAAGTTATGAGAAGAGAGCTACTCAGGAGAATTAAAAATGAGGCTTTCAATAATTCATGAATAAGGCAAGATCAGTAAAATTAAAAAAACAGCATCATCTGATTGATCAAGCTATATTGGCTTAAACAGCGAAATCGTGAATTCAAATCTCAAATATCATTCATTATGGAGCTAGAAAGCAGTGCTGAAACGACACGAATAGGTCAACCAGTTACTAACATGCTCTCTATCTGAACAAAAATGAAATATAAAGCATTGGGACAATTCGGGGTGAGTTTCTCTGCTCGAGTCGAAGAGAATTGAACCTGCTTCATTAAATTTAGATTCGAAATTTGTTTCTACAATGGATTAAGCATTTGAACTTTTCATTCACAAAATTTTCCACCCTTCGAAGCAAATAGCACCTTCCACATTGTCTGAGACACTAGTGAACTCGTTTACAGAACGTCGTTATTACTTCTAAACCGGTTAGCCAAATTCTTTTCTCTCATTTGGTTTGAGTGAGATCCCCCCACCTTTTAAAATCAAAGCCTTAATCGTCCCGCTTTAAGTGGTCCTCATTGTCAAAGTCTTGATTGTACTTGTGACTCATAATGCTCTTATTTTATAAAAAATGATAATTCATCTTCCTCCCACATTTGATAAGACGCGAATTCCAATCCAAACCCAAATACATTCGCAAATGGCCGATAAGCTCATTAACTGATTATCGGACGGTTTGTTTCTTTATAGGCGAGGGAGGGGGGGGGGGGGGGGGGGGGGGAAGTATTGTGAGTGCACAACCCCGTTGTGACTGAACGAAACATTGTACCCGCACTCAGACAGTCCAGAAGGTGCGCTCGAGCTATTTATTCCATATGGAGCAATTGCAATCGTGAGTGCATAGACCTCGCAGCCAGACACTAATCAATATTCCCACCTGCCCGCTTAGAATAGTTTTCTACAGCGATAGAACTAATTTCATTTTGTGGGACTTCAGACTAGAATGACCAGACTGTACGTTATATTCCACCATTTAAACGGTAGTCATCTCTACCTTCGTAACTGTCTGTCTCTTTTACGTCTCTGGTTCATTTTTTTATTCCCCAATATCCACGTTTTGTGACTTTGATATTCCTCCCCTCGGGGTGTGCGATAGACTTACCTTCACGTGGTGCACCCT